AATCGTATCCAATCCAATCCATCCAATGTTGACTGCTGCTGCCAGCTCCCATGCCCTCAAAACAGCTCCACAACGAAGTCCTAGCGGGCGGTTCCGAAACAGCAAAACACCATGGCCCTTAAGGACGGAACGACCTCTAAATCAATCGCAAGAACAAGTTTCCTGGGGGCCGGAATGTCCCTTCTGAAATCCTACTAGAAATCCTCTCTTATCCTGCTATCGTGCTAGAATCCTCTCTTATCCTGCTAGCCGACTTGATTGCTGCTGCTGCTGCTGCTGCTGCTGCTGGTGGCTGGCTGCGACGGCTAAAAGCGAACCACTCCCAGCGGCAAATCCCCATGGCAGTGAAAGACAGAAAAGCTTCGAAAAAATTGCACCTCAAAAATGCCTAATGTAACTTCTGAAACCCATAGAAATTAGACTTCACAAGTGCTGCTGCTGGTGGCTAGCTGCGACGCCTAAAAGCGAACCACTCCCAGCGGCAAATCCCCATCTGATGGCTAGCTGCGACGCCTAAAAGTAAACCACTCCTAGCGGCAAATCCCCATGGCAGTGAAGGACGGAAAAATTCCAATGTTGACTGCTGCTGCCAGCTCCCATGCCTTCAAAACAGCTCCACAACGAAGTCCTAGCGGGCGGTTCCGAAACAGCAAAACACCATGGCCCTAAAGGACGGAACGACCTCTAAATCAATCGCAAGAACAAGTTTCCTGGGGGCCGGAATCACTCCCAGCGGCAAATCCCCATGGCAGTGAAAGACGGAAAAGCTTCGAAAAAATTGCACCTCAAAAATGCCTAATGTAACTTCTGAAACCCATAGAAATTAGACTTCACAAGTGCTGCTGCTGGTACTAGAAATCCTCTCTAATCCTGCTATCCCTTATCCTGTCCCTTATCCTGCTAGAAATCGCATCCAATCCAATCCATCCAATGTTGACTGCTGCTGCCAGCTCCCATGCCCTCAAAACAGCTCCACAACGAAGTCCTAGCGGGCGGTTCCGAAACAGCAAAACACCATGGCCCTAAAGGACGGAACGACCTCTAAATCAATCGCAAGAACAAGTTTCCTGGGGGCCGGAATGCCCCTTCTGAAATCCTACTAGAAATCCTCTCTTATCCTGCTATCGTGCTCGAATCCTCTCTTATCCTGCTATCCGACTAGAAATCTAATCCAATCCAATCCACTTTTGATTGCTGCTGCTGCTGCTGCTGGTGGCTAGCTGCAACGGCTAAAAGCGAACCACTCCCAGCGGCAAATGCCCATGGCAGTGAAAGACGGAAAAGCTCCACAACGAAGTCCTAGCGGGCGGTTCCGAAACAGCAAAACACCATGGCCCTAAAGGACGGAACGACCTCTAAATCAATCGCAAGAACAAGTTTCCTGGGGGCCGGAATGTCCCTTCTGAAATCCTACTAGAAATCCTCTCTTATCCTGCTATCGTGCTCGAATCCTCTCTTATCCTGCTATCCGACTAAAAAAATAATCCAATCCAATCCACTCCACTTTTGATTGCTGCTGCTGCTGCTGCTGCTGCTGCTGGTGGCTAGCTGCGACGGCTAAAAGCGAACCACTCCCAGCGGCAAATCCCCATGGCAGTGAAAGACGGAAAAGCTTTGAGAAAATTGCACCTCAAAAATGCCTAATGTAACTTCTGAAACCCATAGAAATTGGACTTCACAAGTGCTGCTGCTGGTACTAGAAATCTTCTCTAATCCTGCTATCCCTTATCCTGTCCCTTATCCTGCTACAAATCGCATCCAATCCAATCCATCCAATGTTGACTGCTGCTGCCAGCTCCCATGCCCTCAAAACAGCTCCACAACGAAGTCCTAGCGGGCGGTTCCGAAACAGCAAAACACCATGGCCCTAAAGGACGGAACGACCTCTAAATCAATCGCAAGAACAAGTTTCCTGGGGGCCGGAATGGCCCTTCTGAAATCCTACTAGAAATCCTCTCTTATCCTGCTATCGTGCTAGAATCCTCTCTTATCCTGCTATCCGACTTGATTGCTGCTGCTGCTGCTGTAAAGGACGGAACGACCTCTAAATCAATCGCAAGAACAAGTTTCCTGGGGGCCGGAATGTCCCTTCTGAAATCCTACTAGAAATCCTCTCTTATCCTGCTATCGTGCTCGAATCCTCTCTTATCCTGCTATCCGACTAGAAATCTAATCCAATCCACTCCACTTTTGATTGCTGCTGCTGCTGCTGCTGCTGCTGGTGGCTAGCTGCGACGGCTAAAAGCGAACCACTCTCAGCGGCAAATCCCCATGGCAGTGAAAGACGGAAAAGCTTCGAGAAAATTGCACCTCAAAAATGCCTAATGTAACTTCTGAAACCCATAGAAATTAGACTTCACAAGTTCTGCTGCTGGTGGCTAGCTGCGACGCCTAAAAGCGAACCACTCCCAGCGGCAAATCCCCATCTGATGGCTAGCTGCGACGCCTAAAAGTAAACCACTCCTAGCGGCAAATCCCCATGGCAGTGAAGGACGGAAAAATTCAGAAACTGCACCTCAAAAATGCCTATTGTAACTTCTGAAACCCATGGAAAATGATGATTTTAGTTCCTTTTTCGTCCTGCTGCTCCTGCTCCTTCCGTTCAAAAAAAGGGTCAAATGTATTATGCCCTGGCGCGCTCCCCCTTGCGTCTGCCGGGGTCGGCGGATATATATATATATATATACTATTTTGAATTTTGACTGCAGCCAAAGCCTTGTTTCGGGGCCTTGGGATAAAGTACACTTCCTGCAGATCTGTCGACAATGGCAACGAAGTAGATACCGTCAAATGTTGGGATGATGTAGGTAAGCATTTGGGATGTTCTAAGTGTGGGGTCTCCACAGCAGAATGCTACCATATATATATAACTAACTGTCAGCCGAATTTGAGTCCAATGTGGATCGGGTAATCTACTGATTTGCTTCTGAGACCTTTGAGATGTGAACTTAACTCGAAGCACATTCTCGAAATCCCCATGTGCATCAACACTAAAGCGTAGTTGAAACAATATTCAAGCGTAGTTCAACATCGGATGTTCTAAGTGTGGGGTCTCCACAGCAGAATGCTAGCATATATATATACATATATATGTATATTTAACTGCCAGCCGGATTTTAGATCCAATGTGGAACGGGTCATCAAAGCACATTTGGAACCACCATGTACATCAACACTACAGCGTAGGTGAGTCAACATTCAAACGCAATTCAAGATGGGATGTTCTAAGTGTGGGGTCTCCACAGCAGAATGCTAGCATATAAATATATATAAATAAATATCATATTTATTTAACTGCCAGCCGAATTGTGAATCCAATGTGGAACGGGCAATCCACTGATTTGATTCAGAAATCTTTGAGATGTGAACTTAACTTGAAGCACATGTGGAATCATGTACATCAACACTAAAGCGTAGTTGAATCAATTTTGGGGCACAATTCAATATGGCATGTTCCAAGTGTGGGGTCTCCACAGCAGAATGCTAGCATATATATATATATACATATATGTATATTTAACTGCCAGCCGGATTTTAGATCCAATGTGGAACGGGTCATCAAAGCACATTTGGAACCACCATGTACATCAACACTACAGCGTAGGTGAATCAACATTCAAACGCAATTCAAGATGGGATGTTCTAAGTGTGGGGTCTCCACAGCAGAATGCTAGCATATAAATATATATAAATAAATATCATATTTATTTAACTGCCAGCCGAATTGTGAATCCAATGTGGAACGGGCGATCCACTGATTTGATTCAGAAATCTATGAGATGTGAACTTAACTTGAAGCACATGTGGAATCATGTACATCAACACTAAAGCGTAGTTGAATCAATTTTGGGGCACAATTCAATATGGCATGTTCCAAGTGTGGGGTCTCCACAGCAGAATGCTAGCATATATGAGACCTTGTCAAAACCAACTGTCTTCGCTTGGTTCCCAAAAATTGGGTGTCGCTTTTGGAGGGGGCATATCGCTACCCATGGTTTTGCAAAAAGAGGCAAGGAAGAGGGACGGAAGAAGAAAGGAACAGGAAAAGGACAGGGAAAAGGAAAAGAAAAAGGAGAAGGAAAAGGGAAAGGAAAGGAAAATGAATGGGAAGAGGAAAAGAAACGAAAGGAAGAGGAAAGGAAAAGGAAAGGAAGAGAAAAGGAAAAGGATTGGGAAGAGGAATGGAAAAGGATTGGGAAGAGGAAAGGGGAAGAGGAAAAGAAAAAGAAAGAAAGAGGAAAAGAACAGGAAAGGAAATGAAGAAAGGAAAAGGAATGGAAAGAAATGGAAAAGGAAAAGGAAAGGAAGGGAAGAGGAAAGGAAGAGAAAAGAAAAGGAGTAACGGCAAAGGCAGGGAAAAACGGAAAGGAAAAAGGAAAGGATCTATTTGTGGTCTGGTCTGCGGCTACTTTTTGAACAAATTGGTATCGCTAAGGTATCGGTAGGGGTATCGTTAGTTTAGCCTCTTGCATGTACGGGTCTTTGTGCAAAACAATTTCAGATGTGGACATTACGCGCAATTATAGGTATCGCTTGTGGGGGGGCCCTATCACTACACAGTGTTTTGCACATTTTCCAGACACCAGAGAACTCTCCTTACATAAGTAGTATACCAGAGTTTTGACCGTACCTCATTTGTTTCTCAATGTGTTTTGTGATGTTCTACGTGCGAAGCTTCCCCAGGGTATGACACCACTGGCATTCAACCAGTTGTGAAGAATAGTCAAATCTTCGAGCTAACATGTGGTTTTCAATACAAAATATATGATTATGTCTACAGGATGTTCTAAGTGTATCAAACTGGAGGTTCTAAGTGTGAGATTCGGGGATGTTCTAAGTGTGAGAATCGCTTGCTGCATGAATCTTGTTTTTCCCAATTATGTTCTAAGTGTGTGTCCGTCACTATATATATATATGATTGTCCGGCAGTGATCAGTATTGCCGATGCAACAAGACGCTAACTTCAACCTGTGTTAGATGTGCCTATGTAGTGCTGCCAGGTCTGGGATATGAAGCTGCGGTCCTACCTGCGAGATTTGGATAGGAAGGCTCTGGTATCCACATGTTTTGCTTTAGCTACTGCTGGGGTCATCAACCAGCTTGTTGACAGCTAGGCTGGACGTCGAGGCGGCTTGGTGATTTGCGGAGACTTCAATGTTGCACACCAGGCCTTTCGCTGGACATTGACATGTGATGCATTGTCTATAACCTGCAAGATTGCAATGCACGGGAACTGGCTAAGGAGTATATTCATACAGTATCGCCTTGCTACGAAGAATGCCAGCACCGAAAGATTATCACTAAAGCTAGCTTGCTAGCTGGAGTTGAATCGCTACATGTATCACTTCGAACTATTACCCCCCCTCCCCCCCTTCCCCGCAGGCTCAAACCCCGCTCCGTCCATCCATCCCGCTGGGTTTCAAACATCTGCGACCAGGCGTTCATTTTCCTAGCATTCAGGTGTTGTCTCACTGCTTTCAGGTGTTATGTCTGCAGCAGGGCAACTGCACGTAATCATGTTTTGGATTTTTCGCTCCTACTGTTTGAGGTTAAACACAGGAGAACTATGTAAAATGAAAACGATCAATCAAATAGATGCCACCGATGTGTTTTTTTCCTGTTGGTACTGTGTGTCTGTGCGACAATTGGGATAATTGTGTTTGTTTGGCAGTGGTACTGCCAGCCTCAAACCACAACACACATGCGAACAATGACGCTTGTCACGCAACATAAACCGATAGAAAGATCAACTGACATGGTTTCATGACCAAAACATCTCAAATTCAAGCTTGGCTGAACGGTTTTTACATGGAAAACCTATATGGGCAGCGCATGACTTCAAAGCATGTTCATGCACGGCGGCGTCCCGGCGTCCCGGCACCCGTGATGATAAAACGCAAGCCAATCTTGCACCACCCTTGGCGCAGCAAGCAGTACGGCGCAGTCGTATCAGTAAATCAAAATCAGACTTAGTAGCACATGATTCGGGCTCCTGGGGGGTCCGTTTGCTTCATGATGTTCTTGCTAGCCTGAATTTGAGATGTTTTGGTCATGAAACCATGTCAGTTGATCTTTCTATCGGTTTATGTTGTGTGATAAGTGTCATTGTTTGCAAGTTTTGTGTCTTGAGGCTGGCACTACTCATTGCAAACAAGCCAACACCACCCAAGTATTCGAATCGTAGCGCAAACACACAGTACCATGCAATATAACCAAAAAAACATCAATTTGATTGAAAATTACATTTACATTGCGCAACTTTGCTCAGCCTTTCAAACAGTAGAATGCAAAATCCAGAGCACGACTGTGTTGCAAAATTCAAGGGAAAAAGTGCATGCAGTTGCTTTGCTGCTGAGTCAAACCGAACTTAACACCTGAATGTAATGAGACAACACCTGAATGCTAGGAGAATGACTTATATATTTATATATGATACAGGGACCTTTAGGTCCTATTATTATGTTGGTGAGAAATTCCGCCCTTTTATTGGAAAAAATAGACCAATTGAATTGGTTAAATCAATTAAAATATTTCATTGATTTTATTCATTTAATTGATTTAATTGTAGCACTTCGAACACCGGCGATGCCCTTCGGGTTGGAGGCGTTCGTGGCTGTCAAGCTGAGGAGTTTGTGTTGGCAGCACAGGTTGGCACAGGGCTGGTATGGTAGAAAAGCTGAGGGCCCAGAACAGCAGAGATAGGCCGAAAGTGTGATCAAGCCCCCCGAGAAGGGCAGAGTGCTGCGGGTAGCGCGAAAGAGGAGGGCAGATAGCAAACACGCGTGTGCTGTGCGCATTACCAGTGTTGAGCAAGGATGTTTATGGATAGGGTCACATGCAGAGAAAGCTGTTAAAGACACATGGCAGTGAGTGCTAAGGTTCGGCGCGGCAAGCCGGGCTAATCCGCGATGGCAAAAGACACGCATACAGTAGATGGACAAAATATTCAAACTCTGCACCACGCACTATGTTGAACCCCCGCACCCCCAAATCTCAATGTTTCAGCACGCGTGTTAGCAAAAGTGATGTTAGGGATTTGATTTTTTTCTTCCACTGGGGCTAACGCACTTCAGGTTACAATAACATTGAATATGGTGAGGGGGTTGTACCGGATAGAAGGGGCTTGAATATTTCGTCCATCTACGCTACCAACTGGGGTGTGCGGCATGCCGCACACCCCAGTTGGTACTGTCTCGCTCTCTGATGTTTTCACATCTTTTGGTCTCCAAACTCTGTTGTGGAAACATCAATGTGCATGCTGCTGATCTCATTCCACACTGCGCAAAACATGGGCTTTTTCACAAGTAAATGCCTCCTGTCCTTCTCCCGTCCCATTTTTTCTATTCCCTAATTCGCAACTTATTCCTAAGTGCACAAAACATTGTATTTTCACAGGTAAGTGCAACCTTTGTGCTTCCCGTCCCATTTTTGTCTATTCCCTAATTCGTAACTTATTCCCAGTAGTACCGCACAAGGCGGTGGCGGAAGGTTCGAAAATAGGAAACCTATAGGAGAGATTGCTTGTTGTGAATCAGGGATGGCAGAGCGAATCCACTGATGGACCGAAAGGTGCTTGAGGTCTCCTCTCTTTCTCTCTCTTTCTCTGACTATCTACCTACCTACCTATCTATCTATCTAACTATCTAGCTATCTAGCTATCTAGCTATCTAGCTATCTAGCTATCTAGCTATCTAGCTATCTAGCTATCTAGCTATCTATCTATCTATCTCTCTCTCTCTTTCATCTGTCTATCTGTCTAGCTGTCTACCTGTCTATCTATCTATCTATCTATCTGTCTATCTGTCTACCTGTCTATCTGTGGTGCAGTGTCATTCAGTGTAATGTAGTGTAGTGCAATGTAGTGTAGTGTAGTGTAATTTAGTGTGGTGGAGTTTAGTGGAGTGTAGTTGTGTAGTTGTAGTTGTAGTTGTATTGTAGTGGAGTGTAATGTAGTGGAATGTAGTGTAGTGTAGTGTAGTGTAGTGTAGTGTAGTGTAATTTAGTGTAGTGGAGTGTAGTGGCGTGTATTGTAGCGGAGTGTAGTTGTGTAGTTGTAGTTGTAGTTGTATAGTGGAGTGTAGTGTAGTGTAATGTAGTGAAGTGTAGTGTAGTGGAAGGTAGTGTAGTGTAATGTTGTGTAGTGGAGTGTAGTGTAGTGTAATGTAGTGTAGTGGAGTGCAGTGGAGTGTATTGCAGTGGAGTGTAGTGGAGTGTAGTTGTGTAGTTGTAGTTGTAGCGGAGTGTAGTGTACTGTAGTGTAGTGGAGTGTAGTGTAGTGTAATGTAGCGTAGTGTAGTGTAATTTAGTAGTGTGGAGTGTAGTAGAGTGCAGTTGTGCATTTGTCACGAAAGGTAGCTCCAGAGGGGCTACCTTGAGTTTTACTTTACGAAGTAAAGGGGAGGGCGGCCAGCCCCGTTACCTGATTCTTCAGGAGATTGCTAGTCATTTTAGTACCCCCCACCCCACCCCTCCACACCTCCCACGCACCCTAAGAGCAGACTCAAAACATTGTAATTTACAGTATTTTTGTTCTTTTCGGATCAAGAAACCACATTTTGCTACATGGTGAAACCTCCGTAAATACCAGTGTTTTTGCCAGGTGCTGGCCAAAAGACACTGTAAATACCGTGCTTTTTACTACCAGAGGCAAAAAACATCGTAAATACCGTGGTTTTGGGCTTCCGACCCGCCAAAAACATTGGTATTTACAGTGTTTTTTGCTCCGAGAGTTGCAAAAACACGCGAAAACACCACCGATTTGACGATTTTCGGCCACTACGGAACCGAGCAAAAACGCTGCAGGGGTAACACCAACACCAACACCAACAACAACAACAACAACAACACCAACAGCAACAGCAACAGCAACAACAACAACAACGACGACAACAACAACAACAACAGCAACAACAACAACAACACCAACACACAACGCACAATGCACAACGCACAACGCACAACGCACAACACACAACACACAAAACACACAACACACACACACAACACACACAACACACACAACACACACAACAACACACAACAACACACAACAACACACACACAACCACACACAACAACACACACACACAACAACACACAACAACACACCACAACACACAACGACACACAACAACACACGCAACACACAACAACGCAACAACGCAACAACAACACAAAACAACACACAACAACACACAACAACACACAACAACACACACAACAACACAAACAACACACAACAACACACCACATTACACCACAACACACACAACAACACACAACAACCACTATACAGACGGGACAAGGTCAAAGCACACGACAAGGACAACAAGAAGCCAACAGACAACAACGAACAACAACAAGCAACGAACAAAAACAACAAACAACCAACAACATATCAAAAAACACACACACACATGAACCCACAAGAATCTAACAAGAAAACACAAGAAAAACACAATGAAAATAACACAAGCAACAAAAAAACACACATAAGCAACAAACAAGACAAAAACACACACAAAAACAACACGCACAGAGACAACACATCGAACAACCAGCCACAACAACAGCACACAACAACACACAACAACACACAACAACACACAACAACACAGCAACAACACACAACAACACAACAACACACAACAACACACAACAACACACACAACAACACAAACAACACACCACAACACACCACAACACACCACAACACACACACAACAACACACAACAACACACAACAACACACAACAACACACAACAACACACAACAACACACAACAACACACAACAACACACAACAACACACAACAACACACAACAACACACAACAACACACACAACAACACACAACAACACACAACAACACACAACAACACACAACAACACACAACAACACACAACAACACACAACAACACACACCAACACACAACAACACACAACAACACACAACAACACACAACAACACACAACAACACACAACAACACACAACAACACACAACAACACACAACAACACACAACAACACACAACAACACACAACAACACACAACAACACACAACAACACACAAAAACACACAACAACACACAACAACACACAACAACACACAACAACACACAACAACACACAACAACACACAACAACACACAACAACACACAACAA